TAACTCAATAGCAAAACAAACAAACAAACAAACCTAGTTACAAAATGGGCAGGGTATCTGAACAGACATTTTTCCAAAGAAGACACACATCTTGCTAACAGGGATATAAAAAGTGCTCACCATCACTATCATCAGGGAAAGGCAAATGAAAACCACAACAAGTTATCACCTCACACTTGCTAGAATGGTCATTATCAAAAAGACAAGAGACAAGTGTTGGTCAGAATGTGGGAAAAAGGGAACCCTTGTGCACTGTTGATGGGAATCCAATAAAGTATCATTTCTTTAACCACCAAAGGCCTTAGTGCACGAAATTCATGCACAAGGGGTGGGGAGATCCCTCAGCCCAGCCAGCACCCTCTCCTATCTGGGACCCCTGTGGGATTGGGCCTAAATCAGCAGTCGGACATCCCTCTCATAATCCAGGACCACTGGCTCCTAACCCCTCACCTGCCTGCCTGCCTGATCACCCCTAACCTCTCTGCCTGCCTGCCTGATCACTTCTGACCCCTCTGCCTGCCTGCTTGATCATCCCTAACCCCTCTGCCTGCCTGCCTGCTTGCCTGATCACTTCTAACCCTTCTGCCTGCCTGCCTGATCATCCCTAACCCCTCTGCCTGCCTGCCTGCCTGTCTGCCTGCCTGCCTGCCTGATTGCCCTTAACCACCTCTGCCTTGGCCTTTGCCACTGTGGCTTTGTCTGGAAGGAAGTCCAGAATGATGACTGGAAGGCCGTTTGGCTATCTAGTTTAATTATCATATTGTATTTTCATTAACATAGATAAGTGAATCTCTCAAAGAGAAAAAAAAATTCACTCTTTTTTGCAATGCTTTCTACAACATGAATATAATCTTTTTTTTTTTTTGCCTTAATTTAAAACTGACACTACCAAATTCTTAAAAGTATATCATGATTTCTTTCTGGCTTTGCCTCAATGTAAACAGAAAGATGAATTCTACACTGAAATGTCCTATATTTGCTGCAGAGCTTATAATATTTATGTAATAAATTGAAGAGGAAAAAAATAGCTCAGTTCAATAGGACCTGAGAATAAGTATGCATAATTACATTTGTCCTGATTCTGTCATCTTATAAATATATAATAGATATTCACGAACTTGGCCACAACCAATAAAAGATTAATTCCCAAACTTTAGAATATTCATTCTCCATAAAATCTTAGAGCTTCATCATAGCTGATTGACTTGCTTTTTATGATATGTGAATTAATTTCAGTGTTTACTATAATCTTTGACAGCGATAGATGATAGTCATTGGCAACCAATGATAGGTGAGAATGGTTGCCATAATGTTATTCAGGAGAGTAAAGTAATGACATAATTACTCTGTCCTCTAAACTGGAAAGCACCCAAGAACCTCTTTGGCAGATGCCTAAGAAGGTGAAATCAATCCATTGTTCAATATATTCATTTCCCAAGGCTGCCATAACAAAATCCCAAACACAGGATGCCTTAAACAACAGTAACACGTATATTGGCTCATAGCACTGGAGGCTAGATGTCTAAGATCAAGTGTTGACATTCCAAACTAGGTCTACTATCATTCCTCTGAAATTCTCTTCTTTGTTTGGCTCTTGTTTATACCATTACTATCACCCAAACAATGTTTCAGGGTTTTTATTGTTTTTAAAGTCTTTCTCCCCTCTCCATCTAGTCATGTCCATTTCAACTATAGAGTTTCATACCATCACCTTCTGACCCTGGCCTGACCTCCATTCTCTCTCAGTTTTGACAACTCCAATAGCCTCAGTTACCCCCACCTCCTCCCAATTCTTCCTATATTAATATTAGAGATGTCAAAAATACAACTTTGGAAAATATCAGGAAGCGGATAATGTCTTTGGGGCAAATCATAGATTCAGTTCTTGATGGAGGAATTATTATTCCTACTCTTTTCCAGATACTCAGATAAATCATCTTGCATATCACTCAGTGACAGCAAAGTTAATTAACAGCTAAGTTAATCAACAGCTAAGTAAATCAAGCACATATCATATGCCAAGCACTGCACCAACAACTTTACCTTAATTTACCTTCACAAATGAAAAGAGTACTTTATTGTTCTCATTTTATATTTAAAAAAAAAAAATTGAGACCCGTGAAGAAATTATGGCATTAAGAAACTGAGCCATTTACTCAGGATCTGACAATGAATAAATGGCAACCAGAATTTGAACCAGTAAGTTTCCAGGATATTTTCTCTTAAACATTAACAATCATAGAAGGTCATTATTACCAAAATCATTTCATAAACAAGGGACAATACCACAGTCATAATTTAGTCCAAGTCTGTCTAGGAAACTCTCAGTTGCCCTAGTAGTAAAAAATGTCAACCATATGTATTTTGCCAGCAGTAAATCTTTGGAGGACAGGAAGGAACTGATGAAGTGATTCCCTTATGTTTGGGTGGTTACTTACAAAAGCCATTTATATCACCTTCCAACCTGATTTACATGGAATCCATCACCATTTGTTCCACCTCTTAAAAAGAAGGGGGGAAAAAGTGTTCATTCATCTACATTACCTCTCATTAGGAAACACTTTCTCAAGTGTAATTATTATTTTATTAAACATTCTATTGAATATTGACAATTTATGTAATACTTATTGAAAAATATAGAGGGATTACTCAGTACTTTTTGAAGATATCACAGCATCCTTAAAACTAGACACAGTACAACACACAAAACACAGACACTTTGTCACATGAAACAAAATCTTCTCCAGAAGAATTCTCCCACCAACCCAAACCCCTGTTTTTTCACATTCTCCACCAATTTTCAGGTGTTTTCTCCACATGGTTTGGCTCCTCGGAGCAGCAGCCACAGACACAGATTGAGTCGATGTCTTGACATTAACAGACAGATCAACCTCTTGATGGTGTTCTTTTATGCTCCAATGAATCTGTGGTATCTGCAATGCAGGTACCTATTCTTACATTTACACACAAACTGCAGCAATAGAACTACATGGGCTGGAAGAGATGGCTGTTAGTGACAAAACAGGTTTCTGTGGGTTGTTTGGGGCCAAGAGGACTAGACAGAGGACTGGGTGCAGGAGGATCATCAAGAGGATCATCAACAGGCAATGCTAAGGCCACCTGGTCACAGTTGCAAGTAAACAGCAGGGAATCACTGGCCAACTGAGGAAACCGTCAATGGAAAGCTTGAGGTTGGCGGGGAGGGAGGGAGAAAATCATTCAAAAACTCTTCGGGGTCATGAGAAATACCTTTAAAAATCATATCATGAGTTCTAATATAATTTACCTGTCTGGGGTCAACTACTTTCAGAATTACCTGTTCTTTTAGGCCTCTGCACTTTTTCACTAGTTACTGGGAGGTCATTAGGGAAAATGAGTGCTACACATTTGAAATCCTGATTAGCTACTTCTCCAGCAGATCATTTCCATAGAAACAACCTGCAGAGGAATGATTCATCAAAAAGTGTTCCGGGTTCACTCTAGTGCATGTTGAAGTCCTACAAACATGGGTGTTAATATTATCATTATTAATATTACTCTTTTTCAAACTTTAAAGTTTGTTTTTGAAATACTGATTTTCCCCTAAAATGTGGAATCTTTTATACACACACAAAACATGACTTGGTTTCTGGAAGTTTATTTAACAGCCTAGGGGCAACTAGTTAACTTGGGTAACTTTAAGTGCAATTAGTACTTTCCAGAGATCAATGTCAGATTGTATTAGCTCATTCTTTTGGACATTAGGCTAGGTATTTTGTAATGCCCCAACATAACTTCAAAACAGCTTTTGTCAAGTGGTCTGAAGCCTCTTTTAAAAAAAAAAAAATTAGAGTACCCAACACAGAGATATACCTGAAGATTCCTGGTTTTTAAATGCCTCTCTAGAATTTATATTTTAAATTGATTATTTTTCTCCTACAAAATATCCACCTTTTGATAATTATACATTCATCTAAATTATGGTATTATGAATTGAGCTCACCAGCTGTCATTGTACCAGATACTTGTGCAATATTGAGTATGAGAACAGGTCTTATGATTGAATGGGTCCATATGATTGAATGGATCTATAACTGAGTGAATGAGTGAGTAAGTGAGCGATAAAAGAACATGAATTTAAAGCCTCCCCTTTGAGGACTCCCTTCTAAGTCAATATCACTTTCATTTTAATATCTACACTAAGAGCAAAACTTTGTGGTTTGGAGGTAAATTTGATAAATGAGAAAGGTCAAAAATCACTGAGCACAAGTCTTGGGAATAAGAGATACAATTTAGTGGGATAAGGGCACTTAGGGAAACACAAGGCATAATCCAAATATTACAAGTCTCACTCTCTGTAAGTGCGTTCTGAAGGCAATTCCAGAAATGATTTGTGCATCAACGATAAATCTGGATTGGGCACATCAACCCCAGAGTGACTGCTCTGAAAGGCTGTGCTCGATACAGAAAAACTGGCATGCTGGTTTTCATGCTACCTTCTCTAGTTGGGCTTATATATTTATGGTGTTTATGGTTGATATTTATATGCTATTCTTTAAATGTGACTGATGGGAAAGGTCAGGTAGCTTTATGCTAATCTTAAAGCCATAAAATTTTATTTTCCCCTCTGCAAAATGAAGGGTCAAACTAGGTGACCTCTCTACACTTTTCCAGTGCTAACATTCAACAGTTCTATAAATAAATAATTTAAACTTTGTTCACACATTTTCAACCACTCTTACTAACATTTCAGAGGCTTTATATAGGAAGAACTGTTGCTTTAAACAGCCACACATTCTCAAGGGAAATCATGCTATAGACCATGAGGTAAAAATTGCTAGACCAAGATAAATGGAACACACACATATCTCATACACACACACACACACACACACACACACACACACACACACACACCCCTCTGGGACAACTATAGAAGTCATCAGAACAGTTTACGTTCATATGAAATCAGTGGCGTAATTTATACAGAGCAAAACTTTAGATGCGGTGTCAACTTTTCACTAAGTAGTTACAACTTCAAAATCGGAGGAAGTACTTTCAAATGAAAGTATGACAGCGGGCTTGAGAAAGTCCTGCTTCCGATTGTGTCCGAAGTATCTTATTCTGTAGATCCCAGGCTTGGCAGTGTCTGGAATATGCCATTGAATCGTTGCATTGCTATGACCCAGTAATCCCTTGTGCCAATAGAAACTGTGGTAGGAAACAAACAAACAAATCCAATTTTATTCTTAATAAATGTGTGGTGAGAGAAAACATATGATTACTCATTAAATGAATATGAACAAGGCACTAGACTAGATATTCAGAATATAGCAATGAACAGAACAGAGATGAGTACTTACTGCCTAGAGAAGGACCTGTAAGGAACAGCCATTTGTAGAAATAGCTTTGCTCGTTCCATCTTTCTAACAACCTGAACTCTAGCCATCCCAGGATATTCTGAACACAGATGTTTCCTGCTTTAGAGCTGACATAGCATCCTTTAGCCCTTGTCATCCTCTGCTGTAACTGACACTTCGATGGTGTATGTGCCAGACGCTATTTTGAAGACACAGTAGTGAGCAAAGCAGACATGGTCCAAAGTTTCTGTGTTCCTCGATGATCAAAGAAAGGCAATAAGCAAGTAAACCACCCATAACCTTAAAACTGATACGTGAAATCAATAAGACAGGTATGTCTAAGGAGGTATCATTTATTTCTTTTTATTGGTTTTTTACAGAGAGGAAGAGAGAGGGAGAGAGAGTTAGAAACATCGATGAGAGAGAAACATTGATCAGCTGCCTCCTGAACACTCCCTACTGGGGATGTGCCTGCAACCAAGGTACATGCCCTTGACTGGAATCGATCCTGGGACTCTTGAGACCACAGGCTGACACTCTATCCACTGAGCCACACCGGATAGGGCAGGAGGAGGAGGCATCATTTAAATGGAGCCCACGCTTATTTAAAGGAAGAGGGAACAGAGAGTGCAAAGTGTCTGAAGCAGGAACAAACTTGGAACAGCCAAGGGATAGGAAGCAGGCCAGTGGAATTAGGACACATGGAGGTGTGGTTGAGATGACAGAAACACATGGAGTCAAATCACTTTGGTCCTTATAGACTAGGACACGAGGTTCAGATACTCTTCTAATACAGTGAGATAGGATGCGCTGACTGATTGGTATCCTCAGTTATGTAGTAGAGAGTAAATCCCCTGGATTCAACATTCGGTTTCTCAGTAATAAGCTGGGTGCTCTTGCACTGCTGCTGATAAACAAAGCAGACAGCTATACATCGTCTCAGTGTTGACTGCTGTTCTGATTTGGGGCTTTTGAAAATAAATCAGCCTTTTTTTTACTATCTGTATAACTTTATGTTAATAATAAATATGTATTTACTGCTTGCACCTATACCCTATTTCCTAAAGATGAGAGGAAAAAGGTATGCCCATACTTAGGTATGGCTATCAAATCTCTATTTTCAGTTAACCATGTGAATCAAACCAACATGCAAATAATCACTTAGTTTAAGGTGATCTGAATTAGAAACAAAATGCCAAAAATGTCCCCCACTTCCATGCCACTGTCCCTGTGGTGAAATTTGTAAAATTGGGATCAGAAACATTTGATTTTAGACACATTTTTAATCTTCAAAATTTCTAGTCAGCTCAGGTATTTAGTAACAAAAGGCACAGCAATGCGTCTTTTGTAGACCATGAGCATACTTCTTTGCAATGTAAACACTCAGCTCCTGTGTTTTGGTAATTCAAATGAAGAATCCTGGACCATTTTTGTTTGGTATAGACTCATTCTTTCTTTTCCCAGAAGGAATGCCATCTGAGAGCTATCTTATCACCTTCACCTAGCACCTCTTTCAACCAATTTGCAAGAAGGCTAGACAGCTTTTAGGAGTAATGTCTTTGACTATGAAAAAAAAAAATTAACAGATGTTTATAAGAATGGAGGCCATAACCTCATTAGCACCTAAACTTCCAGAGGCACACACTACCGTTTTGTAGAAAAACAGAATGGAAATGAGATCTAATAAATCAACTAAATGTGGCCGGACAGCTCCTTGGGTATTTGCTATCATTAATAGCATGTATTGAGCCAGTCTTCCCATTTGTCTTCCTTACATTACTAACCAACTGTTTTCAAGACCTGAAAGACAAAATATTCAATAGACATGCTCACCGAGTCTCCCAGGAGGCATCATTATGCACTACCTGCCATGACGATGAAGCGTCCTCATATTTCTCCACAGTGAGGAAAGTCTGATGGGTCTGAAATACAATTAACATAATTGGTCAGACACTGAACAGTCACAGAAGGACCCTGTCTGTGAATTCTCCCCTTGACTTTGTGCTAACCTAGCAATACCTTGAGTAAAATGTATTAATTTCATCCAAATTCTTATTGTGTTCCTCTTAACATTTGATACAATATCTGTAGAATATTAATGTATCCAGTCTATTTTAAAAAAAACAACATGACTTTTTAAAGAAATTTGAATAAAGCATCATTTCAGAGCTGTTAGTAAATTTTAGTAATTAGGGCAGAGAAGAGACAGAATAAAACCTGAGATTTTTTAAAAGGCATAAATCAAACCTTTCCATGACAGGTTAATTGACCCATATTCCAAGAGTTTCCCTAGTCACCTCAAGATTTAGGAGGGAAAAAGGTCTCATCTTTCCAACTCCAGGAAAATGAATTATCAGTAAATATGCCTTCCCTAGTGAAAGAATTGAAAAGGATGCATAAATCCTCTCTCCCTTAGGGTGTTAAAAGAAATTCCTATATTTTGTCATGGATTTCTAGAAACCTCATCATAAGCAAATTTTATTTTTCCATTGGAAAATGGCTATAATCATTCCTTTCAGACCAAGAATTCAGCTTCAGATAAAGCATGGATTTGAATAATATAACAAATTAAATGATAAAAAGGCCATAAATCTCCATTTTGCCACCAAGAAAAATTATATTATTAATTATCCTTAAGGGCATGACTTGTATCTACTCCACCTTTCTCCATCATGACCCATGATACCTGATATTACATGTATTCGAATCAGCTTCTGCTGAATGGATCACTTACTTACAGCTGGGCCAGGGGATTATTTCAAATTATTTTCTAGTTAATCAACTGATGGACTAAATTCAATAAAGAAGTTTTTATAACCATGGTTACTTGTAAAATAGAGCTTCTTTGCCAATTAGAGCAGAGGAACATGGGCTGGGGGTGGGATGGGGGGTTGGAGGCACCGTGCTTTAGATGGGGTAGAAAACAGAGTGGGCTCTGGTTCCTAAGTCTAGAGTACCAATCAGAGAACAAGTCTTGGCCCTTGCATATGTGAATTATATGACTATCCTTTCCCCACCTCCTAACCTTAGTCTCTTCCAGTTACATAATTGGTTAATATTTAATAAAAGTTACTCTCTAGGCCTCAGTAAAATAGGGATAATAAAATATAATTCATTGAATAGTAGCAGAGATTAAATTAGATTCACAGGATGATGTACATAAAACACTTAGCCTAGTCCATGCAAATAGTAAGCATTCAATAAATAGTGGTGAGGATATGGTGATTATTACTAATAAAGGGTACTGGAAACTGTTTTACGCCGAGCCCCAGAGCCTTCTTAGGAATTAATTTTATTTTCACTCCAGTGCTTTAAAGCATGTTGCTCTTCTGCTTCTCCAGGGCGATATGATGAGAACATTTCTCCACCCTAAGGATATCAGGCGACAGCTACTCCTGCAGTTTTACTACAACACTTTGCCCTCCTCAGAAAAATAATTACAAACATGTAAACCTCTGGCACAGATTGAATGCCTGGAGAAATTATTTCAAACAGGTATATGTTAATTATCAAAGTAGTAGAACATTTTTTTCCTAATGCTCTTTAGATAATGCCATATTGCCACAATTGTTATCATAGCAATAATAATAATACTATTTTAATGAACAGAAGTGGGAAGGCTCATTTGGAAGAAAGGTATTTGGGTCGCTAAGTGACAATGGGCCCTGGGAAGAATGGCTTATCAATAGTGTCTGACCTTGAAGTCACTTTCATAAACCCATTCCCTTTTTCCTCCATATTTATTTATTCTTTGAATTTTTATCATTAGGAGGTGCCTGGTTATTGCTTGTGTACTTATAAGAACACTCTAAGGGAATTGCAGAAAGTAAAATTACTTCACTTTATCAATAGACATATATACCCTTTATCATATATCTGTATGATAAAACAAAAAGGTATGAAATGATATGTAACCTACTATTAACAGTGATTACCTCTAAAAAGGTTTATGAATAGAGGGGTCATTTTACATTCTATCTTAAGCACTTTCATACTATCTGTTTTCACAATAGAGATGTGTCATTTTTTAAGATTAATAAATAACTATCCTATTAGAGTCAGTAGCAAAGAATAGGAAATGGACAAGGCAAGATAAAGTAAAGCTCATGGATCAGGGCTCCAAGCCAGGAGAGGGTCCCCACTCAGAGATCCATGATTATCCGCAGCAGCAGAGGCAGGACCAGAGGCAGCAGTGCAGGAGGAGAGGGGCCAGAGGGAGTAGGAGAGAGCCAAAGAAACACTTCACTCCTGGGTCTTTGATTATTCTACCAAATGTAGTTGAATTTTTAGATTGGAATACATAACTGAGATTTTATTCAAATTTACGTCTTCTCAGGAGACAATGTCATTTTCATTGTGCTATATGTGGCCCTAAGTAGAGCCAGCGAAATGTTTTCTGTATGTTTATTTTCCAGACTCAATTCCACATTACATGTTCCCACTGAAATCCCCCCATACCTAAAAAAATCTTCCTGTTGTTAACCAAAGGGATAGTCAATGGTATGAAAGGCTAAATGGTGAATTTAAATTTATAAAAAGAATCATTGCTGCTTACCCGATTTTCTGCTGAATTCTTTGGATTAGCGCCTACAAATGTAACTTCAGCAACTTCTCCCTGAAAATAAAAATTTATTTTATGAGCTCTAATAAAAGTATTTTTTTATTTTGTTAAATATTTTTATTTCACAAAGGAAGGGAGAGGGAGGGAGGCAGAAAGGGAAGGAGGGAAGAAAGAAGGAAAGGAAGGAGGCAGGGAGAGAGAGGGAGGAAGGGAGGGAGGGAAAGACAATGTTACCCTTGATATCAAAGGCAGACAAAGACCACACATGAAAAGAGTCTACAAATATCCCTCATGGAGATGAATACAAAACTTTTTAGCAAAATATTACCAAACCAAATTAAATAATATGTATATCAAACCTAACAAATATTTATTTAATATCTGAAAATCAACTAATGCAATACACCATATAAATAGAATGAAAGACAAAGCCACATAATCATTTCAGTATAGAAAATCATCTGAAAAAAATCCAATAACCATTTTTCACGAAAAATCCTCAATAAACTAGCAATAGAAGGAAACTTATATATGCCCTTTCCCTAAAAAAAAATTTACCCTTAATTACTGAACACTTTCCTTCCAAGTATTAGAAATAAGACAAGGAAGTCATGTTTCAAAGTTGTCTTGAGAGATTCTAGCCAGTGCAATAAAGAGGGAAACTAAAAGCATTCAGAAAAGAAATCCAAAAGAGAAAATTAAACATATTTTTATCCATAGATAACCTGATATTATATGTTTACATTTCTAAGGACTCAACCCTCACCCCTGCCCACTCCCCAAAAAACCTATTAGAACTAATACTTAATTTAGCAAAATTGAAGAAGATTATATACTAGAGACCTGGTGCATGAAATTCTTTTTTTTATTTTTTTTCTGCTTTATTTTTTTAATAAATTTTTATTGTTAATATTATCACAAATGTTCCTTTACCACCCCCCCCCCTCCATTGCTCTCCTCCCTCCATTGATCTCTTCCACCAGGTTCCCACCCCACCCTCTGCCCTTTCCCCACCCCCCATTGTCCTCATCCATAGGTGCACAGTTTATGTTCAGTCTCTTCCCACATCCCCCTCTCCCCTTTTCCCCAAGATTCGTCAGTTCACTCCCCTTCCATACCTCTGATTCTATTGTATTCACCAGTTAATATTGTTCATCAGATTTTTTTTTAATTTCCTTGGTTTTTAGATTCACTTGTTGATAGTTACGTATTTGTTGTTCATAATTTTTATCTTTATTTACTTTCTCTTCTGAAAGAACCCCCTTCAGCAATTCATATAATTCTGGTTTGATGGTGATGAACTCCTTTAGTTTTTTTTTTATTAGTGAGCTCTTTATCTGACCTTCCATTCTGAGTGATAGCTTTGCTGGATAGATTATCTTTGGCTGTAGGTTCTTACTGTTCATCACCTTGAATATTTCTTGCCATTCCCGTCTGACCTGCATGGTTTCTGTTGAGAAATCAGCAGACAATCGTATAGGTGCTCCTTTATAGGTAACTACCTTCTTTGCTCTTGCTACTTTTAATATTCTCTCTTTGTCTTTTGCTCTTGGAATTTTAATTATGATTTGTCTTGGTGTGGTCCTCTTTGGATTCCTTTTGTTTGGAGTTCTGTGCGCTTCCTGGACTTGTAAGTCTAATCTTTCACCAGGTGGGGAAGTTTTCTGTCACTATTTCTTTCAGTATGTTTTCGATGTCTTGCTCTCTCTCATCTTCTGGGACCCCCATAATTCTGAAGTTGGTTCGCTTGAAGTTGTCCCAGAGGTTTCTTACATTATCTTCAATTTTCTGGATTCTCTTGCCTTCTGGCTTCTGTGGAGGAGTGTCTTCTGGCTCTTTATGTTCCAAATCTTTGACTTGATTCTTGTGATCTTCCATTCTGTTTTTAGGACTATATAATATTTTTTATTTCAGACAATGTATTCTTTATTTCTTGTTGATCCCTTATCATTTCTTGTTGATTCCTTATTAGTTCTAGTTGATCCCTTTTCATATCCTCATAGGTCTTATCCATCTTTTCTAGGAAATTCTTGAAAAACCTTATAAGCGTAGATTTGAACTCTATATCCAGTCGCTTTTTGTCCTCCATTTCTCATTTGTGATCTATTTCGTCTAGGCATTTTCACAGCTTCCCTGATGGGGCGGGGTTTCAGGGTGGAGCCTACAGCTTTGGCTTCTGTCAGCCCCGCCCAATGCGGCTCCTGAGTCTCAGGGTCCTTCAGTACTTGTTGCAAGCGCCTCTGAGAGAAAGGTGCCCTCGATTTTCGCCTGCTACCAAACAGTCTAGGCTCTCCCCCAATGAGCGCGATATTGGGGTTCAGTTCAATTGGAAGTGGAGTTGGAGGTGGCATTCAAAGCAGTCTGGAGCTTTTGTCTCCTTCCCGCCAGGGCAATCCCGCAGCACAGCTAACTGTCAGTTCTCTGTGCACAATGTGCGCGCCTCGGGGACCTCCTTTTGCCGCTCCTCCAGGGTTCCGCCTTGCAGCCTAGCTCCCGCTGTTTGAGCCTGGGTCCCCAGGGTCTGGCCTAGAACTGGGGTTCAGAGCAGTCGGAATTTGGGCCCAGCACAGTCGGAGCTTTTATCTCCTTCCTGCTAAAGAACACCAGCCAGGCACTCAGCCTCCCTCCTCTCCAGCTCTGTCCTCTCTGCGCACACTGCGTGTCTCCGTACCTTAGCCTTTTACAGCTCCTCCACTCTTCCTTCTGGTTTTCTCCTTGCTTCTCATTGTAGAATTTCCAGTCAATCAACTTTCCTGTAGTTCTGGGTAATGTCCATTTTATATTTTAGTTGTATTTTATTGAAATTGTTGTGTGCGGCTGCGGCTAGGTGTTTACCTGTGCAGCCATCTTGGATTCTTCCCCTGTTGCATGAAATTCTTGCATGGGGCGAGGGGGGATGTCCCTCAGCCCAGCCTGCACCCTCAGGGTATGTCCGACTGCTGGTGTAGGCCTGGGGATCAGGCCTAAACCGGCAGTCAGAAACCCCTCTAGCAATCCGGGATGCTGCATGCACCAGTGACCAAACTTTTCATACAGATAAATGAAAGGCATCTTGCTGTTGTATAGGCAGCTACATTTTTTTTTTGCCCTGATTATAAAAAGTAGTACATAACATGATCCTTATGAGGAAGTCATACCATTTTCTCACCTGATGGGTGGGAACACTGAAGCAGAGAGAAGTAATTGTCTTTGTCACACAGTTATAAGTGTCAGAGTCAGGGCTGATCATAAAATGTGCAAGCCAGAGTCCATGCATGTCATCGCTGCATCATCCTGTTTTTTCAGTGTTAGAGTAGGCTTGCCAGGTTTTAATTTTTAAATCTAAGAGACTATTCTCAATATATAAGGTTGGGTCCCTAGGCCTGGCCAGAGATCAAGGCCAATTAGTGGGGCGACCAGCTGGCAGGGTGATTGAGGGGCCCTGTTGGCACCCGCCTTGGCTGGCTACCTGGTGCCTCCCACTGACCGTCCCCATCCCAATCATCAGCTCTGCCACTGGTTGCTTTCCTCTAGGGGGGCAGATGCTCCCAACCAGGGGTAGCTCCTGCATTGAACATCTGACCCCTGGCAGTCAGTGCATGTCATAGCAACCAGTCATTCCACTATTAGGTCGACTTGTCTATTAGGGTTTTGTTATATAGGATTGAAGGACAGTTAATACAAAATAGCAGTGGTAAAATCCTGATTCATTTCTATGTGCTTTTCCTAACCTTGATTTAAGAGACAACTTTTCTGAACTCCAATGAATGATTCCATAACCATCCATTTAGGAAGGAAAGAATAATTGGGATTTTAGAAATTCAATTTTACATAATTACCACCTAAAAAATAATTATTTCCCCATTATCATGTTCACAGAGCCTCTACAGAGATAAAAACAATTACCAAAATTATTGTTGCTAAAAGTTGATGGTCTATGGCACCATTAGAGGCAGATGGTGCCATTAACAATACCTTTCCTCCCACTCCCACCTCCAAACACAGGCTTCCAGCATTCCAAGGTCTCTGTGTGAAACTTACCACTCTGTATTTAGAATTCAACGGCTGCAGGACATCCCCAAAATTCTTGCCCATTGGTGGTCTATCCACAATATTAGGAATTAATGGTTTTATCAATTCTTTGAAAAATGGAGGCTCTGGACCTCTGCTCAGATTGGCCACTGTTTCCTAGAACAGAGAATGTTTGCTTAAGAAGGTGCACAACGTGGAGACAAAAACTCTTTCCCAAGTTCCTCATCCCTGGACATGCCCTCATTAAAGAATTCTATCCCTCCTCCCTCCCTCTCTTTCTTTCTCCCTTCAAGAGCTAGCTAACAAAACATGAGGGGCACCGCTTGCTAAAATGTGAGCCTAGATGTGCATAAGGTAAATGTTTGTCATTAGAAAACAGTTTTGGTCATAGGCAACACTTTCACTTCCCTAAGCAGCATAGTTCAGTGTCTACAGTGCAAGCTTGGAAGCATGTTACACTCTTCAGATTCTAGGAGAGCCAATTTTTAAATGTGTGACCTTGGACAGGAGTCTAACACATGATAAGCTTTCGTAATATGACACTGTAGTTAGTCTTTTAATTTTTACAAAGTGTTTAGCCTGTCTTATCCAGAATCGGTACCAAGTTTGTTTGTTTGTTTGTTTGTTTGTTTTCTAAATCCTCCTCTGTGCTGATTAAAGACTATAATAAATATATTTTCAAATATATTTTTTATTGATTTTTCAGAGAATATGAGAGAGGGATAGAGAGCTAGAAACATCAATGAGAGAGAAACATCAACCAGCTGTCTCTTGCACACTCCTTACCGGGGATGTGCCCGCAACCAATGTACATGCCCTTGATCAGAATCGAACCTGGGACCTTTCAATCTGCAGACCAATGCTCTACCACTGAACCAAACTGGTTTTGGCAATAAATATATTTTTAATTTAAAAGTTAAGACCAGCCTATATCCTGACTGGTTTAATGTGTTTTCTACAAAATTTGCCACCTTTAATAATGTCATCAAAATGTTAACTTCCGATTTTAAATAGCCCCCCTATGGATTTAATGCACTTTCATAATCACTTTATATACTTAATTTTTACAGCAAGCTATATAATCTATTATCACTCCCGTACTCAAATGAGAATATAGGCTTGGAGTAGTTTTTCAAGATCATATAACTAGTCTTAGATACATAGCCATAAAACTGTGAAACAAATTTCCACAAAATGATTCACACTTTTCTTCCTAAATACCACTATAAAATTTGAAGACTCTATTTCCATAGGAAGAGCTATAGACCTATGATAACAATGAAAGTTAAACAGTGGTTTTCTCTAGGGATGAGTTATAAGTTTATTCTTTTCTATGTAATCTGAATAATCTACAAATAGTTATAGCTTCTATAATGAAAAATAAAGTAGTTCTATTTTGAAAAAAAATGTATCAAAGCTCAAATTAAGAACATTATGATGAAATAGTAATAATCAAAATAATATCCTAATACCTCGTATTGAAACTTGAAACACACACAGTAAGCAATTAATTAGATGGAGGCATATGAAATTGCCAGTATTCAACTACAGAAACAGTAATTTCATTTGTTTCAATTTAATGTATTCAAGCTCTTGCTTTGAAAGGCCTTTACTGTCTTTGCTATGTCATAATTGTTTTACACCTTCCTGGGGCTCTTATAGTATTATACAATAGCGGTTACCACCATCAAAAGGCATTTACTAAATCCAAATTTACTCTCTGTTTCATTTCTTAGGAATACCTAATAGTATATATTCATGTGTGTATGTGTACACACACGCGCACACACACACACACACACATATGGTTTTTTTTTTAAAAAAACTGAACACTCATAGCTGAAATTCTTATTTTGCTTCCCTTTGTATCTCCCCCTCCCCATCTCTGAGACAGACGGGCATACAATTTTTGATTACCGTAGCAATGGCCTTAGCAAGGCCTCTGTAGAGCTGGATGTAAGCAGACAGGGTGTGTGGTCCATAAATTGTAGACGCCGCCTCATACCGCTGAACCTGCAGGAAAGGCAAGGCCGTGTTGTACACCATTCTCCTTATTTCAACCCACTTACGGAGGTGTCACACTTAGGTGAGGGGTAATGCTCAGACACCGTGTGTAATTGAAACACACAACTCAAGATTAATGATGACAAAACCAGGGGGAGGAGGCATTTTCATTTACCAGCTAAAGTACATGGTTCCCATCAATTCTTTCCTAAAGGCAGTGGCTCCTCTTGGCTTGTGCCATTTGGCCTGTCAGTCCATTTATTCTGACTATAGGTACTAGGTCCTCCGCTTATGTCTATTTTAAGTACTAGTTGTAATACAAATGTTTTCCCCTACGGAGTACAGCAGGAGAAAGTTTTAACCCACCATAGAGCTATAAAATAGAACCAAATACATCTCCTTTGGCCTTAACTCCAAGCCTTTGGTTGTTTCCCAGGATCTTCCAATTCATCAGATCTCAGATGGAACTCCTCACTCCAAACACACCAGCTTTCCCTGTGATGTTCTTCATCTCCGTGAAGGCCAGCCTTCCTGTCACCCGGGCCAGGACCAGCAGGCCATCATCAGGTTCCTCTCTCCCCCATCCTACCACCTCTGAGTCTCCAAATCCTTATTCCTTAAAATCTCTTGACTGTTTTCATTTTCCTCTGTCTCTACAGCTTTTACCTTGGCCAAATGCTTATCTCTCATCCTGATTACTACGGCTTCTTAATCAGTTCTGTCTCCACACTTGCCCTTTGGATTCATGTTCTACACTGCCATAATCGTGACCGTTCTAAGTCACAAATTTGATAAGAACATTCCTTTGAGTTCTACTACAGTCCCCAACACCTTCCTTATTCAAGCAATGCTCTGTTGCACAGCATAAAAGACTCTTCACTAACCCCTGCATGGTACCCTAGTTCCTATCTCACTATGCTTATCATGCTCAGTCCATGGAACTTAACTAATCATGGTCTCTTAAATGTACTAGGTCAACCCCTCTAGACCTTTGCAAATGTAGCTCCCTCCGTTATGAAACACCTCCCCTAACTTTTATTTGCCTAATTAGCCCTTACTTTCAAGAACTCAGATAGATGTTACATCTTACAAAAAAAAATCTGCCAGTCCCCAAGCTCAAATACATAGTGTAGATGGGTGCTCTCTTCTCTCTCTCTCTCTCTCTCTCTCTCTCTCTCTCTCTCTCTCTCTCTCTCTCTCTCTTCATACACTTTGTGCATCCCTTTCACAGAAATGTAATCATCTGCTTTCTTCTCTTTTACTAGACCATAAATTCTAGTGGTCTTGAGGACAGGGGCAGATTCTTTTTTTTTTAAATATATTTTATTGATTTTTTACAGAGAGGAAAGGAGAGAGATAGAGAGCTAGAAACATCATGAGAGAGAAACATCGACCAGATGCCTCCTGCACACCCTCTACCGGGGATGTGCCCGCAACCAATGTACATGCCCTTGACCGGAATCGAACTCGGGACCACAGACCGGCGCTCTACCACTGAGCCAAACCAGCCTCGGCTAGAGGCAGATTCTTATTCATTTTTATGCCCAGATCATGGCTACTACTGCATGTCTCAACACATATCTGTTGAATGAATGAGTAAATAGATTAACTAACTAATACTAATCCTTGCAGGGACATGTCAATGAACCAGGAGATGAACTAATATTTGTGCCACGAACTCCTCTGATCATCTACTGAGGCCTATCGGCCCCTCTCAGATTAATATTTCTAAATGCATAAAATAAAGTACATGAGTTGACAAAGGCCACTAATTAGACTGAAATACATTAATAAACCAATTTTGTGATAATGTTTGCGCTTCTTTATTGAACAGCAAGATTCAGCAACAGATTTAATCACTACTGTGATTTTAAAGTAGGAATGAGAGTAAAAGATATTCCCAGATCTTAACTAATGGTGTGTGATATTAAAAATACCTTGGTTCCTATTGGTGACAAAGTCAGAGACACTGCTATTATTATTGTCATTTGTCACTATATTCATAATTGGAGGAAATGCTAAATAATAAGTAGTTACAGATAAATAAAATAAAATGAGTAAATGAAAAAGTATTCCCATTCAAATTTGCCCCAATTAAGAACCTTTATTAAACAGAATTTCTTAGAAGGTAGAGCCCTTTGATAAAGTCAACAGAGGGCCTGAAGCAGATTCCATGGCTGGTATCACTGAACACTTGCCAAGAAGTAGACTACATGCCTGTGTATGGACTGCAGATATATTAGGAAGCATTAGTTGCTGGACACTAAACTGTTCTCATGTTTTTAACTATTACTATTTTTAAAAAGTACTTGGGCTACTTTCTGTACTATTTGTAAACAAGGAACCATCACCAACCTGCAGCTTCCCCTAAATTCTGTGACTCTGTGGCTTAGTCTATGCCATCTATAATATCTATAATAATAAAAGCATAATATGCTAACTAGACTGGACGGCCTTCCAGATGAAGCCGGGGCTACAAGGGAAGCCCGGGTCCTGGGTGCCAGAGGGAAGCTGGTGCCAGCAGCTGAGGGAAGGAAGGCCTTCTCTTGCATGAATTTCGTGCATCGGGCCTCTAGTGGATATAATAATATCTTGTTGCAAGTCTTATTATGAGGAACAGTTAAGATCACATTTGCAAAGTGTTTAACTAGTGCATTCAATAAATGGTAACCAGCAGGGTAGCATTCCTAGATCCTACACAAGTTTAAGGCACTAGAAGCATAAGGGATAGAGTTAGGAGTGCTGCGTGCCACAACCCAGACTTACCACCAGGGCTCTTGACAAAATAACTTATTTCAGGAAAAGTGAAAGTGAGTGAGACTAGATTTCTAGCCTGAACTTGTAAATGGTCAATCTAGAACTACCAAGCACAACTTCTGGCTTAGCATTCTCTTATCTGTCCTAAAACAAAGTAGTCTCTCAAAAACATGATTAGATAAGTCTAGAAAGAAAACCTGCATTTAATACAATAGTCTAGGCCAGGGTAAATTTCACTTAAGTGATAAAGATGATTCACCCTACCTGGTATTCTTCATAGGTGGCAATGTAATGTGTATATACATTGCACAGACCCGAAATAACAACAGTCATATCCCGCATCCCATAAGTTGCAAACTCCTGGGAGGGGGAAAGAGGTAGAGCCCAGTTAAGTTACTCTTCATCTTAAAGTTGATTATAATCCCAGTTATACTGAATCACATATGAATCATTAACAATATTCTGCCTACTGATTAAAACTGCCTGAGAATGCAGAAGTGTCAGAGAGTCCTAGATAAAAGATATAACTCTGCACTATAGTTGGACAAATCAATGGATCTATGAACATATTAATGGTTATATTTGAAGACACAGAATCTTCTTATTACTAAAATAAAGATATTTTATCAATTCCTTATAAAATTATAATGGGAGGTTACAGTAGCTATTCCCAGGCTCAACTAATAAGGCATTTGTTGATTATGTCATTTTAAATCCATTTACAATACTTCTTGAATATAAATAAGATTATAAATAAAATACAGAATTCTCAGTGTTAGATTTTATTTAGATAAGACTTTAAGATATTAAGATATTAAGATACTCACGTTATTTATCATTTAATCCATAAAACCATTATTAATTTTTAAATTATTAATACATAAATATCAATAAAATATTTTGACTATAGTTCCTTTATATTTTTAATTTATTCTTATACCGCCAATATTTCATATTTACCTCTAACCATTACTTTCAAGATGTATAAAAACTAGTTAATTTAGCAAAGATTAATTTAAAAGGTATTAGATCATATGGCTAGAGAATTCTCTTCCAATTATAAATGCATTGATGTTATTTTATTTTTAACTTACTGCTTTAATTGCCTCCCGAAATCTTCGTCCAGACATGGTCCTGAGTGAAGAAAACAGAATTATCTAAGTGTTTTCCTACTTAGAATGTGTGCAAAGTATGCAAAATGACTTGTAGTAAAAGACAAAAAGTTATCCTGTCTCATCACACAATCATAAAGTATGTAGGAAGCTAAACTAAAGTTGAGCCTTTTTCCTGACTGTCATATCTTCAAAAGCAAATTCTAAAATGAAAACAGATAACGTGAAAGAGGGGGGGGGGGAATCAATAAATATCACTAGCAAAAAATCACAATCATTTTTCATTTATTGATTCAACAAAATATATTGGTTATGTTCTTTGTTCCTAAGAGCTAAGGCAAGTAAAGAGTATATTGTTTCTGCCACAAAGACTTTACAATTTTATTCATTAACTTAATCCTTCATAAACTCTGAGCACCTACTACATACCAGGCCTACATCTAAATACTAAGGATTAGCAGTGTGGAGCTAACATTCTAGGGAGGACAGAGGGTCAATAGGCAAATTAAAAGGGGAGAAGATAAGTGCTATGAAGAATATAAGGAAGGTTAAAGAATGAAAGCGAATGGTGGTGTCATTGTGGTGGTGATGGTGGTGCTGATGCTGTATTGATGTGGTGGTGGTGGCGGTGGTAGTGGTGGTGGAGGCGGCAGTGTTGGAGGAGGGGGTGCTGATGGTGGTGCTGCTGATGCTGTATTGATGTGGTGTTGGTGGAGGTGGCAACGGGGGGTGGGGTGGTGGTGGTGGTGGTGGAGGCAGTGGTGGGTGAAGACAATGTTACATAGCATAAGCAGGACTGGCATCTGTTAGAGCTCTGAGCAGAGAACTGAAGGAACAAAAGAGTTGGCCGTGGGGATTACCGGAATGCAAGTATTTCAGGGAGAAGGAACCGTAAGTTCAAAAGTGCTAAGACAGGAGCATGCTTGATGAGTCTGGGAACTGCAATGAAGCTCAAGTGTCTGAAGCAGGGAAGAGAGGGGAGAGTCAGATGAAATCAGACCAACAAGGTTGCTGTGGAGATCACATAGGGTCCGAGGATTCACCTAGGGTGAAATGGGAAGCCAGTGGAGGGTTTTGAGAGGACATGGTTTAACTTAAGTTTTAAAGGACTTTCTCCAGCTGTGGTGTTGATAAACTACTCTAGAGAAGAAAGACAGGAAGCAAGAAGGCAAGGCAGGAGAAATAATGGTCGATTAGGGCAAGGGTGGGGAGAGAGCAATAATAGAAAGTATTGGGAAGAATGTACAGAATTTTCTGAAGAATAGAAAGTGAGGGGAAAATGAAAAAGAATTCAGGGATGACTCCTAGATGTAGAACTGAGCAATAGGAAAGCTATAAACTTGCCTCTTACTAAGATAGGAAAGGTTGCGTGAGGAGGAGACTTAAAACATTTTTTCATGCTTTTAAAACCTAGAGTAATTATTTCAAGATTCTGTATTTTAATATTACTTTAAGTCTTTCTACTGACATCATAATTCACATCATTTTAATTTGGAATGATACGTTTTCCAATTTTTATATTTGCTTCAAGTGACACACTAGGAACAAGCACAAAGAGGTCTATTCTTCTGAGCTCCCGCCGAAGAGGGTGGGAATATTTGTCAGTGGTAACAAATAAGTGCAGTGAGATACAAAGGAGTCAGTACAGAATTATCTGCCCATGTTTAGTGATTCCAACAGAAACATATATACAATAACTGACTTTATAAAAGTTCCAACTCTTTTTTAACCCTCACCAGAGAATATGTTTTTAATTTTGAGAGAGAGAGAGCGAGAGCGAGAGCGAGAGCGAGAGCGAGAGCGAGAGCGAGAGCGAGAGAGAGAGAGAGAGAGAGAGCGCTATTAATTGGTTGCTTCCCATCTAGGGATCAAACCCAAAACCTAGGTCTGTGCCCTGACTGGGAATCAAACCCAAACATTTTGGAGTACGGGACCACCTGGCCAGGCCATAATAATTACATTTTTTTAACTACAAAGCAAAAAAGAAGGACTTACGTAAGCTCCCCAGGAATAGCAGTTATGGCCAAGGACCCAAGAGTAATGATCTGAATGTCAACAATATCCGGGTGCCAGGGATGAGGTTTGGACAGCTAACAACCCAAAATACGAACACTGTGTTAGGAATGTTATTCTTTCTATGATCAAGAGACGTGTGATGATCACAGAAGTTTCTTTATTAAAGGGTGCAAAATGTTTGCTGCTGCTTTTGGTGTCTCATACCATCATAGATTTTATTTCTAATTCATGATATAACATTAAATATTTTATCTAGTCATACATAACATGTAAACCTCAAATATGAATGCCCCATTAAGCTGGACATATTTTCTCATCAAGGTGGCTGGTGGATCTGTCACTGTAGAATCACAATGTGTAACCGATGACCAAGGCCCTATTAGAGAATGGTGTTGACTTTCCTTGTACAAAACAAATTAAGTAACTCCATCGTTTGGAATAGCTTCACTTAATAACGTCTTACTCTAAAAGCACTTCAAATTTTCAGTTACCAAGTATTGCCTTACTTTCCACATTTTCTCCAAGAAAATCTATCCTTTTCCATACTCAAATGAGTGTAGAATCTTTCCCTCTATCCCTTCCCTTTCATCTCCTTCTTCTTCCTAAAGAATTTTAATTGAATATTGGGGGGGAGGGAACTCTATTTAAATTGTTTTCTACATCAATAGTTCATATTATAAGCACTGGCATCGCTTGTGCTTGACATTTAGAATGTGAAAATCCATGTTCCAAAGGAATAAGAAAAGAATGTTGCTTTAGGTAATAACATTGCCTGACGTGAGAAAACGGAGACATGAACATGTTCCTTTTTATAGGGACTGAGATGCTCTTCTCTGCAGAGAATTCTGTGTGTACTTCTGTCCGGGAGGTAACATAATGAATCTTAAGGAAGACACCTGTTATTTTTATTCTTCCTTTTTCTAATTGTTTCAGTTATTTATCATAAATTCAAAGTTATAATATTTAATAATCATACCCCTTATTTTTTAGACTCATAGCATCCATACTTTTGACATAAAATATTTTGATGTGGGATTATCTGAATAAGACCTCCCATGGAAAATCAGGTATACCATTCACATCCGGCCATTCATAATTTTTAAAAAGCAATATACTAATTTCAACATGATAATAAAAAATACGTTACCTCTCCAGTGTGAATAAGGACTGGCTTTGGTTTATGACACTCTTTGATTTCATCAGATGGCTTGCCCAAGATCTGATTCCGAAGACTTTCCCAAAATGGATCTGGTACTGTTGTCCCTGTTAGGAATGTTTTAATTAATATGACTCCAATCCTCCGGGAAAATGTCATCATTTCAACAGCTGTTGTACAACAATGCTCTCGGGAGTTTCAGAGATTTCACTAAGATTGTTATTTAATGATTCCAAGACAGTCTGAATAATAGAAGCTGCAAAATTTCCTGTGCATCCTAAAATAGGAGCCATTATTTAATTAGATCTTCAGTGTGGTTGATAGAATAAAAGAATATATTTTGCTCAGCATCCTTAAAGTTTTGTTTCTATTGCTTCTTTTCTTCCATATTCCAAGTAAAAACTCACTGTAGATTTTCCATTTTGAAAACTAAAAATGACACCTCCAATTTGAGGAACCAGTTGTTTGGCTTGGGGTCCCTAAAAAGGCCTTAAAAAGGCCTTTCTTGAATCCCCACTTACTTGTCTACACACACACACACACACAATCAGTAAAAAACAAACACCTAGCCTAAAACCCATAATCTTGGGAAAAGTTATGTTAACTACAAAACCTATCAACTTAGAATCTATAATCCAGTAGGAAAATATAACAATTATAAACGTATGTGGATCTAATAAAAGAGCATCCAAAGTACATAAACCAGCCTTTAAGTCCAGTGAAATCAGAATCAAGTTATAAAACCTAAAACAATCAGTTCTAAATTAAGGAAGATCCTGGAAACACACACAGGAAGGGGATCTGGGACCACATGCGTTAGGCTCCTAAAGACCTCTGCCCTGAGGGATGTTGGCTTCAGGAAAGGGGTAAGGAACAGAGACACTAATAACAAATTGGAAGAGCCGACTCATGTTGTCGAAGGTACAATGACAACTCCCTTCTGCACCCCTAAACTCCCCTTGCCCAAGCACAATTTAAAATTATTCACCCACAGACTGAAATGCAAAGAGGATTTGTCTCTGGTTCTATTTGAATGCGTGGAAAGCTGAGTGACCGAAGACACCCGTCCCTGAGGAATCTGGTTGTCATGTACAAACCAGGAGCTCCCACACACCCCTGAATTTAGAAAGAAACATGGTACATGCATGGGCTACAAGTAAACTCTCCTCGGGGACACCACCCCAGAGCTCCAGAAGCTGGGGCCACAGATTCCATTCGTCGGCACCTCACCCTGCGTGAAGTTGAAGGCCCCAGCTCCATCGATGGTGCCAGCTGCGAAACTGTAGCCCAGCGCTGGTTTGCATGTCTTTGCCTATAGGAAAGATTTTTAGGACAAAAAAAGAGAAAAGAAACAGAAGTTAAACTTCCACCAATGCTGAGATCAGCCCTGAGTTTTACCCTTGTAGCACCGTCAGCGTGGCTCAGCAACACTTACCGTGTGTGTGGAATTGAGTGGGACGGTGACATCTGTCATATTCACCCACTGATGAGCCGAAATCAATGGTCCCGTTAACTCATGGGAAGCCACGGCATACAGTGTCTAGAAAACCCACAGAAGCTTGCTGTTAAGAGCCAAAAGCTAAAATGAACACTACCCCTGTATCCAATAAGCACCAATTTGGAGAAGGATCTCTCAGACACGTTTTATTCTGCTGGGTCCTTAGCAGTAGCCACTACTCAGGTGACCTGTCTGCCAACCTGTTGCCTCCCTGAAGACTGAAGGCCCTGGATGGTTGACCCATGCTTTTCCCCACAAAGATGAAACCGGAGTGATCCAGGATGAGGCACAAAAGGCCCCAATCTCACTGGAAAGATGGTCAAGAAAATGTAAGATGAGAAGTAGGAGGGCTGAGTGACTTTCTTTGCCAGAACAAGAGTGTACTCTCGGGCATCCTCAGTCCTTGAGTCCTCTGGCAGGGCTGGCTTGAGGAGATGCCAAGGAGTGGCTTGGAAACTTCAGGCCCCACTTCATCTGCATAAACTCCCCTAACACCCCCTCCTCTTTGATAATTCCCCCCCCCCCAATGTGGTCAACTGATGCTTTTACAATCTTATGGGAAAAGGGAGTCAACACGTGATTACAAATGTTTCTTTTTACTGATCTATATCATACAACAAATCCTGCTTCAGTCCAAGTCCCTTTGCCAGAGATCTAACTCATTTCCACACCATACCAGTTCCAGCTGCCACTCAGGAGCTGGGAGCTGGGAGCTGGGAGCTGAGTGGCCCCAGAGGCAGCTGCCTCCCTAGGGAAGAGGAAAGTTGTGGCTTGCTGAGAAGAGAAGGCAGAATGGGGGCCAAATCCTGCTGGCTCTCAGGCCCAGAAAGATAACAACATTTCTGGCACCTAATTGTGTCACAAATGCACTCCCTAAATAGAATCTGTTAATTTAGAGCAATCCACTGATAATACCACAGTGATTAAAAAGAAACTGCAGCAAATAGGGCTGGCTAGTGTTTAGTGTTTTTAAAGGTGCTTTTGATCCTCTTTAATTGCTGCTGAAACATTTTAGAACCGTTGGAGCTCACATGTGCATGTGAGTGTACAACAAAGGAATAAGTAAGCTATGAAAAGGAAGAGACTTAATTCTCATTATCAGAGATATCTCAGCTCTGCACCTCATCCTTTGTCTTTTAAGTCAAAAATATGTCTCCTTTGAAGCTGACACATAATATGGGACTAAAGGAAAGATCAAATTTAGAAGAGGGAAGAGATTAGAGCAAATCATAGTAATCTCGCTGAAGACCAGGTTCTTTCCTCATTAAAAAAAAAAAAAAGTTAAGAAAATATTAGATGGATGATCTTTGCCATATCAAAGAAGACTAGAATTCATGTGACTCCAAACTGTGAGAGCAGAGAGTTGTGGGGCCCAGCTTTGCGTTGTCACCAAAGAAAAAGTTAAGAAATGCATTACCATTAAACCAGTATTACATGAAATATTGAAGGGTATTCTTTAAAAAGAATAAGAAAAGATTAAAAATTAAAAATAAATACATAAACAAATAAATAAACAATAAAATGAATAAATATGTATCTATCAACAATTGAATCTAAAAATAAAAATAAACAAATAAGAAATCTAACGAACAAAATAACCTGATGAACAAAATAGCATCAGAAGTATGGAAACATGAAACAGACTGAGGAATCTCAGAGGGAAGGAGGAGGGTAAGAAGAGATTAACCAAAGATTTTATGTGCATTTATGCATCATCTATGGATACAGACAATAGGTTGGTGAAGGCCTCGCGCGGGGCGGGGCGGGAACCAGGTGGAGGGAGACAATGGGAGGAAAAAGGAGGACATCTATAATATCAACAATAAAGATTTTTTTAAAAGAAATGGCTGTGATTTGGCAGGCAAATCCCCGAGAGATTTCTGAGCCTCTGAAACAGTCTGGTCATATATACCATGCTAATTGAAAACCTCACAATCTAGCTAGTATCCCACTGCCAAAGCAAGCCCTCTGGCAGAAGTAAAATGTCCTTACTGTAAGTGGCTGGACCAGGCAGTCAGGGAGAGATTCCTGTGTGGCCTGTGCAAGAAATCTTCCCAACTGCCCTGCAGCAGCAGCCAGCTTTCCAGACCCTTTGGTGCTGCTTGAACTATTGTCTTCCTCACAGTTAGGGACTTCCTAAAGAACAATGTCAGCAGATCTTCAAGAACAATCCTAGATAATAAAGAGCTAATATGCTAATGAACCAAACAACCCTCCAGGCAACTTTCAGACAACCTTCCAACCATCTGGACAATCTTGTGGAGGAAGCCAGGGCTATGAGGGCAAGGCAGCCCAGGCCTTGAGGGCCGAGCCCCTTGCTCAAATTTTGTGCATCGAGCCTCTAGTTTTAAATGAATATCAAACAGTGGGTGTACTGCTTACCGAAGCTCTCTGGTATAGGGTCCGTCCTATAATTTGTGTGCTGTGGAGCATATCCTGTCCAGGTCCCCTAGACATGCACATGGAAGACTGGAACAAAATGAAACAGATGTGTTCTTGGTGAATAAATCAGGTATTTTATGGCTGGCTGGTGTGGCTCAGTGGTTGAGCTTTGATCTATAAGCCAGAAGGTCACGGTTCAATTCCAAGTCAGGGTATATGCTGGGATAGCAGGCTCCATCCCCAGTAGGGGATGTGTAGGAGGCAACTGATCAATGATTTCCTGTCATCATTGATGTTTCTATCTCTCTCCCCCTCTCCCTTCCTCTCTGAAATCAATACAAATATATTTTTTAAAAGAAATTATTTTAAGAAATGGACAATTACAAGTGAATGTAAGCAAATATAACTGCAATCACAATAAATATACATTAAGTACTGACTTTTTTTTTTAGTCAACATCATGTATTATGAGTTTTTCCCACTTCAAGTATTCCAACAGAAGACATTAAGTTGATGCATAATATTCTGTTGCAAATAAGTATAATGTTTTAACCATCTCATCTATGAATTGTGTCATTTAGTAAGTAGTTATCAAATCTACTGTGAATTAATAATGTGTAGAAATTTTGCAAATAAAGGATAACAAAGAATACTTTCTACATAAAAATAGTAATATGTAATAGAAAAGTGTAATTGTTGAAACTATATTGCTCATTGGGTGGGCTTGATTGGAATAAAGTAAGCAGCCCAGAAATAGTGTTAAATAAAAGTAATATCACAGGTGAAATGTTCTTTAAATACAAAGAATAAGAACCAGAAATGAGCATCTGCTGCTCATATCCTACCTAAATGAGCTTGAGGGAGGGGAGCAGCAATTAAATAAATGGTGGTACAGTCTCATTTGTCTTTGAAACTTACCACACTGATTCATAAAAATATTTTTTAAGATGAAGTTGAGTGGAAAACTGAAATCCTGGACCAAGAAAAAAATCAACAAGTAAGTTATAAATGTGGTTTGTGGTTGTGCAAATACACAGGAAGTCATTAGATAGGTAACTGCTGGAAAGGGGGAGGGGCAGGACAGAGGTGAACAGGGCCTTTCTATGCTTTCATTCTGACTGCAAGATTTTTGCAATTTTAAAAGAAAACTTTGATCTTATATTGTTTTTGTGTGTGTGGTTTGTTGTTGTTTTTTTAAACCCTAGCTTTACCAATGAGTGAGCAATGTTTCGGGCAGACCATTTGGGGTTCTGTTACCACAGAAATGCCAAGGCATCATGTTTCAGGTGGTCCGCGTTTGGGGAAGGATATTTAGTCTCTGACATTTCCTAAATTGCCTCACCATTCAAAAAACTTCACAGTCACATAGCAAATTATAATTTTATCTCACTGACATTTCGTGATTGCTTTCGAGAAGAGCAGTTGATAGAAGTAAGAAGGCCGGTGTATACTTGAGGAAAACCTACTTGTAAATGAATGATAAATATTCAAACATAAAAACATGCAAAAACAAAGATTTCCCGGCATTGATACCTACCCCTCCAACGGGACAAGTGCTGTTCGCGTTATCACAGGACTCCCCTGTGTTGACGCAATGTGGGCCGAGAATGTTGGGGGACACATCTCCGAGGTTTGATGAAGCGAAGGCTGCCACAAACGGCCCCTGCCAAGAGAAACAGCCAGTTGCCTTTTATTCTTTCTTCCCCTCTCCTCTCATTCAAAATGCAAACATTCCATCTGATTTGGTAAATTATTCAGAACCATTTGTACACAATAGAAAGAAGATGTACATACAATATTCTAAGGAAATACCTTAATCTTGAAAAGGCTCCCAGCCCAGACAGTGTTCTTACAATTACTCAAAACTTTCCAATTGTCAACAGAGCGGTTTCAATCAGGACAGTTTCAAATCTGTGCCTCAGACAGAAGCATGCAGACAAGGAACACAGTGTGCCACAACAAGTTACAAAATGCTGAAATGTCAATTTTGTCTCTGGTGTTGAACCTAGAGATCCAAGATGCAGTTGCCCTTTAAAAATAAATATCGTATTGGCTTAAAAAGAGCAGAGCCAATCCAGACTCTCCTGTTGTGAAACTGAACCTAAATACAGAATCCACCATCCAGGCTTGCGCTTCCACTCATCTTTTCTCTCTCTCTCTTCAACCTGAAGTAACAACACGTAACCATTAAGAATGGTACAAGGCAGTAACCTCAAGCCACTGTTCTGCCATTCTGTCCTATCTCTCTCTCTTTCTCTCTCTCTTTTGATTGGAACTATTCCAAGTGACTTTTTTATTGCATTTATTGAGGTGACATTGGTTAATAAAACTATATAGGTTTCAAGTGTATGATTCTGTAATATATCATCTGTATAGTGCATTGTGTTCACCACATAAAATGATTCTGTCACCATTTGTGACCCTTCTACCATCTTCTACCTGTCTCCACCCCTTCCCTCTGGTAATCTCCATATTATTATTTGTGTTTATGAGTTTTGGGGGGTTGGTTTTGTTTTTTTCTTCACCTTTTTCAACCAGCCTCCTAACTCCCTTTCCCTCTGACAGCTGTCAATCTGTTCTCTGTATCTATGAGTCTGTTTCTATATTTTGTTTGTTTATACCATTGCATCTTGAATGTCTTAAATTTTCTTAGAAAAAGTAAGCAAGTATCAGAGATCATGATGCTAAAGAGATAATTTATTTCAAAGTGCCTAGCACCTAGCCAATCATCATAAATGAGAACCTCCTTTCTTTTCCCTACAATACAGGCTAAGGTGAAAAAACAAAACACTGTTTTGTCAACAAAGGAGCTAAAAGATCACATCAAATGTTCATGGATCAGTATCTTTGTAACAGAGCATTATTCTAGTCAAGAGTATGGGGCTCTCATCCCACATACGCCCTGCATTCTAGGGCTTTGGTGCTGATGGCAAGCAGACACGTTCCCTCTTCCCACCTATCTAGCTGTAGTCTTTCTTGTACACAGATCTGAGCAGCACCTGGAGTACATGGACTGGGTTCCTGGCCCTCATCTCTGATCTGGTCACTCACTGAGTTTCAAAATTACAAACAATTCTGATGGATTAGGCCTGACTCTGACTTAGGTCTTATTACAGGAAAGTAAAACAATGTCCTGGAAAGGAAATTCACCATGAAGAGGGATGTCTGGCCCAGTGAAAAGAACTTAGCATCTGTCCTCATTCAAATTATTATACCATTAAAAAGACGCTTAATGCTTTTATAACTCTGAAAACAAATTAATATCACATCTGCACCAAACAATAAAAAAAGTAAACATCAATACAATTTACCAAGTTTCCAAGTTGATAAAAATGATTATATATTACAAAAACCTTGAACTTGCCCTCCTTTATCCAACTATTAAAACTTTATGAAGCCATCAATATAGGTAATGCTTGACACAGTTTATTGGTCATTTTGAATTTTTCTTCTCCTACTAGGTAAGATGGAAATTTTTTTTATCCAAGTATATCAGTATTAGGGGCCTGATGCATGAAATTTGTGGATGGCAGGGTGGTGCCCCTCAGCCCAGCCTGCGCTCTCTCAATTCTGGGACCCTTCAAGGGATGTCTGACTGCCCATTTAGGCCTGATTCTGGTGGGATCGAGCCTAAATGGGCAGTTGGACATCACTCATACAATCCAAGACTGCTGGCTCCCAGCTGCATGCCTGCCTGCCTGGCCCCTTACCACTTCTGCCTTTCAGCCTGATAACCCCTAACCATTCCTTTACCAGCCTGATCGACACCTAACTACTCCCCTGTTGGCCTGATTGTTCCTAACTGTCTTCCCTACAGGCCTGCTCACCTCTAAGTGCCTACCCTTGCCAGCCCAGGCATCCCTAACTGCTCTCCCCTGCAGGCCTAGTCAACCCCCAACTGCCTTTCCCTGCCAGCCTGTTTCATTCCAACTGCCCTCCCCTACGGGCCTGAGTCCCCCCTCAACTGTCCTCCTCTGCTGGCCTGATTGCCCACAACTGCCCTCCCCTGGCGGCCTTCTTGGGGTGGCCATCTTGTGTCCATGTGGGGGCGGCCATCTTTGACCATGTGGGGGTGGCCATCTTGTATGCTGGAGTAATGGTCAATTTGCATATTACTCTTTTATTAGATAGTATGTGATGCACATACTAACACTTTACTTTGAAAATTTGACTCATCTATTTTAAATATTGCATCAGTGATGATGCTCAATATATTAAAGTTTTTAGTAACATAAATTGTTACCTGTCCAGGTAAATGTCCTTTGTTCTTTTCTTGTTCAAACAGGTAAGATGCATATCCCATATTGTCGCTATTTACAAGATGATTGCTGTTGTTCATGTTGACAGGGTGGATGGCAAACCAGCTGCAACAGAGCAAGAAGCCTAAATTAATGAAGAAAATCAGATAACTGGGGCCAGAAAGGATGCCTGGGATTTCTGTTAAGTTCTCCCCAACAGAAAAAAACAACTTAACGATAGGCATTCCACACTTAGGTGCTTTTGTTGTTAATGAGCTTACATTACTAATAATATACTTAAGAAGTCTTATCATTGACTTAAATATAAAATTCAAAACTATTTTTATGAATATTTCAGCAGCAGCAGCTTTTAACAAGAGCCAAGGCTGGTCAATTATTAGATGGTATACCTAAAGAACTGTATAGACATAGACTTTGTCCTTCAAGAAGGCACACATATAATAATTATTCAAATCAGTCCAGACTAATTCAACAGACACTTATTGAGAGACTGCTATGTGCCCTGAATAAACTGCAGTTTGCTTTCAGAATCTTCCAGAAGACAAAGCTTTGAACAAATGCCCTTTTACAGTGTGACAAAGGTTGTAAAGTGTTTGGGGACCACAAATGACTAGCAATTATTTCTTAAGGAGAAAGAACAGCAGAGTCATTGCATGGAGGCATGAAAAAGGATGGTACGCATAATTCAATATACAGTACGCATAGGTAATTCACTACACAGTAATAGCTTACGTGTAGCGCTATGCAGTTTACAAATTAACATCACATCTGCTGCTTTTTTTGAACTTCACAAAAACCCTGAGAGAGAGGCTGTTAATACCTCCTCTCTGCAAGGTGTCTCAGAGAAGCAACACGGAGGCCCACTTGCCATAGCACCAAGGCTCGTGTTTGGGTCTCTTGACACCTTGTCCAGAGGCCCTTGTAGATCAAACCTCCACACGGTGAAAAAGATACTTACAGAATGAAAGGCTATAGAGCAGATGAACTGGAATGATTAAGAAAAGAGGCATGCCAATTCATAAACTTTGAAGCTAATTTAGGATTTAAAAAAATATATATATATTTTTTGTTGTTGTTGTTGATTTAATCCTTTACGGAAAACGTTTGAAACATTTCATCTCACATTCCTACCTACACGATACAGTGCCCCGAACTTAACGTTTACATAATGACTGAAATGACTGAGGATGCTTTGGACTGGAAGGTCATCACTTAGGATCCAGTCCTCATTGCCCGTTAGATGTATATGTAGGTCAGAGGTGGCCAGCGTAACACCCCTGGGGGCTGGGTTATGCAACGCCAGTGAGGTGAGCTGGTTGGTGCAGCAGGAACTGGTGAGGACTGCGGGGATCTGCAGGCATTCACACTGGCAGCTGCCAAATATGCCATCTGGGAGTGAGAGCCAGGGCTGCCAGATCTTCCAATTGTTTTTTTCAAGAGAAACCACAAACCCTGTTTTTGTGAAATATTTATCTATTTAAAAATTCTTACAGAAATAAATGCATGGAAACAAAGGAGGGGAATGGTTACAAATGAACAGACTTAGGACACGTAGCCAGCAAATAGCATTTGTGAACGGTGTTTGGATACTGATTCAAACAAAATGACTATAAAAGACTTATTAGAACCTAATAGGAGAAGCTTTGACTTTGCTGGTGGGCTTACAGTATACTATACAGATCTTGTAACATAGAAACCCATATTCAAAGCTTATATGTCTATGTTGACCAGTGTCACCCCAGGAATATTTTTTAAAAGACTTATTGATGCAATCAGGAAAACTAACCATGGGTTGGGTTTTAGATCATATCAAGAAATTAATTTTAATTGTGTTGGCTGTAATAATAGACTATAATTACATTTTTAAAGTGTTTATCTGATAATAAAATATTGATGAATGAAAAAATATGTCTAGAATTTGCTTTTAAATACTCTAGCAAAACATGCAAATAAAAAGGAACAGAAGAATGAAATAGAATGGCAGAATATTGTTAATTGTTGAGTTGATTGAATATTGTTAATTATTGAGCTGATTAATAGTTATGTGTACATTTATTAGACGAATCACTCTACATTGGTATATATTTGAAACTTTTCATAATAGTTTCTTTTTTATCTTACACCCATTTCAATTTTTTTTAAAAAACAGTAAAAGGCCAAATCACCAGCTGGTAGGATGAATTCATTGCCTACAGTATATATCTGCCACTGTGCAAAACGACAGAGGTTTAGGCTGAACACAGTTCAAAGGTCATTCCCTGGAGCTTACTTGCAAGATTTCTATATTTTTGTTTGTTTGTTTTAATATATTTTATTGATTTTTTACAGAGAGGAAGGGAGAGAGATAGAGAGCAAGAAACATCGATGAGGGAGAAACATCGACCAGCTGCCTCTTGCACACCCCCTACTGGGGATGTGCCCGCAACCAATGTACATGCCCTTGACCGGAATCGAACCTGGGACCTTTTAGTCCGCAGACCGATGTTCTATCACTGAGCCAAACCGGCTTCAGCAAGGTTTCTATATTTTTAAAAAACCCTTACATTCGTTTCTATTTTGTGATTTGTCTCTTTTTCCCAAAATTTAAGTGCCAAGAAAATTTTACTCTAGTAGTATTTTCCAGTTAGCTGGAGTCTGCTTTTCTGTTTTATTACATTTGAAAATGGGGTGGTGTCCATGACAATTCCATGACTCCCCAGCCAAAATATTTCTGCCTAATACAATCACACTGAGGCCAGCCAGACCACAGCCTCCCCAGTGCAATCAAAGGAAAACTGTAGAACAAGTTTATCACTGCTGTCCTTTGTATTTATATTTAAGTTATTTAAATATCAGAATCAGAAGATGCTACATATTTTCTTCGCTGTCCTATGAAATATGTGCTATTAAAATATCAGGCTTGTCACAGCAGCCAAAGTGCTGTGGAAATAGTATAAATTATGAATATGTATAAGGATATGAACAAAGGTGGTTATTTTAAGAAAGCTGTACTCACAACTTTTATCTGGTCAGAAATATATTCATCAAAGCAAAGTTCAAAGGAGAGGAAGAAAGGTGTAGGTAGTTTCAAATGAAATTAGACTACAGACATAAAAGGAGGACTATGTCCCTGTTCATGAACATTTTAAAATAATGATTATGTCACAGCTGGGATGTACAAGGGGAAGCAGGACTCGACTTGAGTCAGCCTGACCCAAGCAAGGTATTTAGGAAAGACAGGAGAGTTGATATTTTTCCCTATTTAGTAGCAAAGTTAGTTAAAATGTCTGAGTCTCTTTTCCCCGAGACTGAAAAATAATCCATTTCAACTATGCTATGTGAAACAATATACACCACATTATTATAGAATATTATAATTATTTTCTCATCTGATATTATGGAGGCATTTGAAGCAAAAGACTTCTAGGGCTTCTTTTAATGTGGACATTGTGTGCTTCCTAATTTGAAACAGAAAAAACAAAAAGCCAAATGCAAAAATTGAGCTTCTTAGATATTCTAAAATAGTAACAAACCATCCAAGGTTCCATTCTCCCAGGCCTGGGCCATCATGTCCCACGTGCAGAAAGGTGACTGACAGAACAGGTAAGTGGAAGCTGCTCTGCTCACCTACCTAGGCACCTCGGTCAGCTCAGGGAAGGGAACACCTGTGTGTGATTTGCACCAAGGTCCTATGTGCTAGCTGTCACCATCTACTACCTAAATGACCACCAATGGGGAAAGAGAATATTGTACATGCATCCATTCAAAGGTAGTGTTTATGAACATGGGAGTTTCATTTAATAACAAGGGAGCTTGTTGGATAAATACAATAGAGGAAGCTGTACTCGGTTGAATAGTATACCCTCCCCCCAAAAAAATTCATGTCTACTGGAATCTCAAAATGTGGCTTTATTTGGAAACAGAGTTTTTACAAATGTAATCAAGGTAAAGAGCAAGTGATCCTAGCTTGGTCTGGTCTAAACCCAATGTCAGTGACCTAGTAGCAAAGAGAGACACAAAGAGAGTTACAGTGGTAGCTGATGTGGAGATGGAGGCAGAGATTGAGTTGTATGGCTACAAGCCAAGAATTGCTGGAAGCTGCCAGAAACTAGGAGAGAAGCATGGGACAGGCTCTCCCTCAGAGACTCCGGAAGAAACAACCTTGCAACATCTTGATTTTGAACTTTTGGCCTCCTGACCTGTGAGAATGTTAATTTCTATTGTTTTGAGCCAGCCAGTCTATAGTAATTTCCTTTGGCAGCCCTAAGAAACTAATACAGAGGCCATACACTAAGTGGCCAGATTATTATGATCTCTGAATGCATAATGATCTGGCCACTCAGTGTGTGTGTGTGTGTGTGTGTGTGTGTGTGTGTGTGTGTGTGTGTGTGTGTGTTAGAGGCTGGTGCATGAATTTGTGCATGGGTGGGGTTCTGCAGGCCTGGCGGGGATGGGGGGGAGTGGAGGGAGGGAAAGAGACATGGGTGATTGGCCAGCCTGCCTGCAGGTCGAACTCCGGGTCGAGGGGACAATTTGCATGTTAGCCTTTTATTATATTTGATATACACTGGGTGGCCAGATTATTATGCCTTCAGAAATCAGAATAATCTGGCCACTCCATGTATATCTTAGTGACTAAGAGTATAACTCTGCAGTCAGATATAAGTTGCTCAATCTGTTACTTAATAGAACTTACTTATTACAGAACCTCAATATTTCATACTTATTACCCACCTCACAGCATTTGACAATAACAGGAACAAATATATCTAAAGACTCATTATACTAAGAATGGAATAAGTCATGGTGATGATGATGATGATACTGATACTTCTGCAGCTGCTGCTGCTGATTATTATAGGGGAAAAGAGCTATGAAGCTCTGAATACATGTGTGTATATATTTCCTAAGATTAACACAACATGTATATTCAACTTACATGATATAGGCATGAAATAATTAAATGAGAAAACCCTGCCCTCTTGTGGCAGAGACTTGAGGGCTTACAAAATACCTGTGTGCCAAGTCCTAGCCTCCATATGGGGAGAGAGAATTGAGGTGCTGGGTGGAAATGGTGAAGGGATTGAGAAGTACAGACTGGTAGTTACAGAACAGTCACAGAGATG